TCTCACAAACTGCTGCTGGGTCAGAAAGACCCAGAACATCCAAAAGAAGTCCCAAGGCCCCACAGCAGCTTGCATTGCTTCACAGTTGGGCCTCAAGTGGGCACCTCCAAACCCCAAACAAAGAAGAGGAATCTGTAGATCTATCCTTATCTCCAGCTGGGTGACCTCAGACAGAGGCTAAATTAGCACCTCCTTGGAGATCCAAGAGCCAGTGTACCCAGTTGTCAGAGTGGGACCATACAGATTACAACTCCTCACATCCATTGGGACACACTCAGGGGGCAGACTCAGTGAGCACTAAAAACCCACTTAAGCAAGTCTTGTCTCATAAGGGTGCCTCCAACAAAGAAAATCTCCCATAGTAGACACAATTGATCTTCACAACCAATTGGCCTGGAGGTCAATTCCTCCAAGTGATACCAACAATGATCAAGGCTTAACTATAAGACTATGCACGCAGCCTACAAAGGGGTTCACCAAGAGTGTCCACCTCAGGTAACTGGGGAGGCTGAGCCACTGGGCCCTATAGGACACCTAGCACACAAAGCCACTCTATCAATACAAGGAAGCAGCCAAAATACAGAGAAAAAGATACAGGTCACAAATGACAGAAATGGAGGAAAGCAAATGACTGGACATAGAGTTCAAAAACCACGGTTATAAGGTTTTTCAATAATTTTTTAGAAACTGCTGATAAATTTAGTGAGACCCTTGAGGATATGAAAAAGGATCAAGTAGAAATTAAGCATACACTGACTGAAATAAAGAATAATATACAGCCAAAACTTGTTTGGCTCAGTGGATAGAGCGTTGGCCTGTGGACTGAAAGGTCCCAGGTTCGATTCCGGTCAAGGGCGCGTACCTTGGTTGTGGGCACATTCCCAGTAGGGGGTGTGCAAGAGGCAGCTGATCCATGTTTCTCTCACATCGATGTTTCTCTCTGTCTCTCTCCATTCCTCTCTGTAAGAAATCAATAAAAAGTATATAAAAAGAATAATATACAGAGATCCAACAGCAGAGTAAGGATTGCAAGAATCAAGTCAACAATTCGAAATACAAAGAAGCAAAAAACACCCAACCTGAAAACAAAAAGAACAAAGAATCCAAAAATCTGAGGATAGTGTAAGGAGCCTCTGGGACAACTTCAAGCGTACCAACATCTGAATAATGGGCGTACCAGAAGAGAGAGAGCAAGATACTGAAAACCTATTTGAAGAAATAATTACAGAAAAGTTCTCCCACCTGGTGAAAGAAATAGACTTACAAGTCCAGGAAGTTCACAGAACCCCAAACAAAAGGAATCCAAAGAGGACCACACCAAGACACATCAGAATTAAAATGCTAAGGGCAAAGACAAAGAGAATCTTAAAAGCAAGAAGAGAAAAACAGTTAGTTACCTACACGGGAGCACCCATATGACTATCAGGTGATTTCTCAGCAGAAACTATGCAGGTCAGAAAGGAGAGGCAAGAAATATTCAAAGTGATGAACAGCAAGAACCTACAACCAAGATTACTCTACCCAGCAAAGCTATCATTCAGAATTTAAGGTCAGATAAAGAGCTTCACAGATAAGAAAAAGCTAAAGAAGTTCATCACCACCAAACCAGTATTATATGAAATGCTGAAAGGTATTCTGTAAGAAGAGGAAAAAGAAGAAAAAGGTAAAGATAAAAATTATGAACAACAAATACACATCTATCAACAAGTGAATTTAAAAATCAAGTGAATAAAAAATCTGATGAACAGAATAAACTGTTTTTTAAAAATATATATTTTATTGATTTTGTACAGAGAGGAAGGGAGAGAGATAGAGTTAGAAACATCGATGAGAGAGAGTCATCGATCAGCTGCCTCTTGCACAACCCCTACTGGGGATATGCCCACAACCAAGGTACATGCCCTTGACCGGAATCGAACCCGGGACCCTTCAGTTCCCAAGCCGACGCTCTATCCATTGAGCCAAACCGGTCTCGGCATAAACTGTTGAATATAATAGAATCAGGGGCATAGAAATGGAGTGGGCTGAGAATTCTTGGGGGGAAAGGGGTGTGGGAGGTGCAGGAAGAGACTGAACAAAAATCGTACACCTATGGATCTATGGATTAAGACGGTGGGCGGGGGTAAAGGCAGAGGGTAGGGTGGGAACTGGGTGAAGGGGAGATATAGGGTGGAAAAGAGGAACAATTGTAATAATCTGAACAATAAAGATTTATTAAAAATGAATAAATAAATGAGAAAAAAAAAGAAATAGAAGCCAGGACCTGGGGCTAGGTATACTACTGCCATTGGAATGTTGCTGTAACCAACAGTACTGGAATGTACGTATGTACACAATTGCACTCACACAAACTTATGCATCATATCTATCACCTTTCTCTTGCATACATGTGCACACACACTGAAAACGAGGAGTTACATTGAGGCCTCTGATTGCAGCACAACACTGCCAAGTTTGCTTCATTCCCCCACTGGAAACTCCCCTTTCTAAAGCAGAGTCATGGCTCCCATTGCCCCTGTACATTCCCCGAGGTAATGGGTCACGATGTTTATGAGCCAGCCCTTCCCACAGAGAGCCCTCCTCACACGCTGACGGTGCCGAAGCATCCCCTGCACTGGACCTCCTCCACCCCCAGCACTGCATCCCGGAGCCAGCTTGCCTTCCAGTGCCCAGCCCTAAGGGCAATCCTCCTCCGCCTGGGCAAATCCAGGTGCTGGGCTCTGGCCCCCCAAGGTGCAACCCCGCTCTGCTGCACCTGTGATGGCAGCTGCAGGACAGAATTGCTCTGGTCCAAAAGGGAAGGGACGTGGGACAAAGAGAAGGGGAGTGGAAAAGGTGAACAAAGCTTAGGACAATCAGTTACTCAAGGAGAATCGGCCCAAGCATGGCAGCACTGGGAAGCCCCTGTCCTTTTTCTCACTGGTCCCCAGCTGCCCTTTCCTGCCCCTCTCCTCTGCCCTCTCCTCTCTCATCCACAACTTTCTCCCCTCCATGGAGCCGAAAAAGGCTATCCTGGGTGTGATTCCTCACTATCATTCGCATAAGCCGCTCGGCTGACCTTCAGAGTGATGGTGTTCTCCCTGAAGCTCTGGCCCTCAAACCCTCTGCCTCTCTTGCTGGACTTGAATGTTTCCCTCCTCTTTTAGCAATTTCAGGTGTGAGCAGGAGAGCACGCTCACAGCCACTTTTTTTTTAATTGATTTTTTTACAGAGAGGAAGAGAGAGGGATAGTTAGAAACATCGATGAGAGAGAATCATCAATCAGCTGCCTCTTGCACACCCCCTACTGGGGATATGCCTGCAACCAAGGTATATGCCCTTGACCGGAATCGAACCTGGGACCTTTCAGTCCACAGGCCGATGCTCTATCCACTGAGCCAAACTGGTTTCGGCCACAGCCACTTCTTGGAGCCTCAGGTCCTTGGTCTGGAGGATGAGCGTCACCACAACCCCCTCACGGGCTGGAGGAGGAACAGAGATTGCAACACCAGGCACCTCCCAGGAGCGCCGTGTGATAACCCAGCGGTGAGGGCTTGACCAGCGACACAGGACTCCTGGACCTGTAGGAACACGCCGCGTGCATTCCCCCTCAGCACTGTTGCCCTTGCTGTTCCTTGTGCCTGGCCTGCTCTTCCCTCAGGCCATCTACGGCCTCTCCCTCCCTCCCGCCCAGTCTCTGCCCCATCAGCAGCCCCTTTCCAGAGAGACCTTCCCCATCACCCCGAGAAAATGCTCTTCCCCCTCACCTGGCTTTTCCTTCTCCTTAACACTCCTCACTCTTACAGATGTTACAGACTTACCGACTGACTCCGTGAAATCAGAGACTTTGCCAATTATTCTCCCATTGGACCCCCAACTCCCAGAACAGGGCCTGGGCACCTTGGCGGGGCTCCGAAGTCGGACTGTGACCCGGGCTCTGACCCACATCGCTCTGGTAGGGCACTGGGCTCACTGTATTGATTATGATCCATGTCGAGGCTCAGGAGACAAGGGACTTGCCCAAGGACTCACAGCCAGGCCTTGGGGCTCCAGGCTTCGGAATCACAGCCGCCAGGTTCCAACACCCTCAGTTCCTGGACAGAGACCTCCCTCACAACCAAAAAGAACAAAGACTGAACCGGGAACCGGAGCCAGAGACTCGTACAGCTCACTGAACACAACCCACAGCGGATTCCAAAACTCTGTCCAAGAGCTCACAGCTGGAGGCACAGACTCCCCCACAGAGCAGGGACCGTGCCCACTGGGACAATCCGTCCCCGAAAAACCAACGTCCTCAGCCCGGGAACCTACACTGCGGACACTGCACGTCCTAGAGACAGCTCCCAAAGCACGCAGACACCCCCTCCCCTTAATACCAGGACGGCACAAGCAGAAGGCAGAAGTGCAAACACCGCAGAAACACCACATGACCTTCAGATCGTGCCCCCAGACGGACCACAGGACACAGACCCCAAACAGCTCAGGGTCTGCACACCTTAAGGTGAAACCTCTCCACCCACAACCAGTTCAGGGCCGTCCCAGCTGGGGGCCCAGCCCACACCAGGCTCTGGGCCATCAGGAGCTCCAGCTCTGCTGGGAGACCTCCCACCTGGGGCTGCGCCCCCCACAGAGACCTCCCTTCCCGGCACAGATGCCCCCAGGTATTCACACACCGTGCACAGGCACACGAAGCCCAGGAGAGCTTAGCCCCTGGGAGCACCAATCCACTCCAACAGCCCCTTCCCTCAGCCCCCAAAGGCCAGGAGAGAGCACCCGCCCAGACAGCACCTGGGTGTCTCCTGCATAACGCTGATCCCAGAGGCCTGGCACCTGACCGCCCAAGTAGGCACACAGCTGTCCGAGGCCCCTCCCTGGCCCTCAGCCAGGGCATCTGCAGAACTGAAGCTGCGGTGCCCGAGGCGCCCACCAGGCTGGTGATGGAGCGGAGGCGAACCGAGGCCGCAGGGACAGCCCGTCCCCTCAGGCACCGACCCCCCCCCCCTCCCCCCTCCGCTGCTGACCTGGCGGCCACGTAGGCCAAGCGTGGACAGCGGCGTTGCGGGTGCAGCTGCACACAGTCCAGCTCTGACAAGCACGGCCCTCGCGCCCAGGCCTCACCCTCAGCTCCGGCGCTGCGACCCCTCGGGCGGGCGGCAGGCGGACCCCCAGCGGACCTGGGCATCGAGCAGAGGCCCAGACCAGGTCCAGCCGCGGCCGGCCGCGCCCTGGAAGGGCTTCCAGCCTCAGGCTGGCGGAGGCCAATCAGCGCCCAGCACGGCCCGGCCCGCCCTCGGCGCTGGGAAGCAATCGCTCACCCAGTAGCCGCCCGGCTGGACGGCTGGACGTGACGGCGTCAGACCCAGGGGTGGAGCTCGGGAGGAGAAAACGAGGGGCGCAGCCTCAGACCAGGTAGCGCCCCGAGTGGTTGGTCCTGCCTCTGAGCCCAGAAGGAACGCTCCCCTCTGGCGCCCCTTGGTGGTGGGAACCGGGAAAGCTCCTCGATGCAGATGCTCATGGACCACTAAGCTGGGCAGTCATGATGAGAACCCACAGTCCGCTGTAGTCCTGCACTCTTCAAGAAGTCTGCGGAACTGAACTTTACCTCCCGCAGCGGGCAATAGCATAACAGGGGCGGGACCAGCGTTCCCTGTGAGCTGGGCATTGAGAGGGCTTGTGCCTCCCTGGGGATGCAGAATAGATGGGGGGGGGGGGGGAAGGAAAGGGGGGCTGGTGCAGCCAAAGTCCCCCAAGGGGCAGGACAGCTAGAGCTCCTGACTGGGCCAGAAGCCTGGTGAGGGGCAGGCCTCGTCCTTAACTGTTAGTGATAGGTGAGACGGACAGAAGGACCACAGGACAGCAGGATCTTTGGTTTTGTTAGGGAAGGGGCCATCTCCCAGAGGCCCCAAGGACACTATTGGTGAGGTAGGACAAAGGCTTTGTCACCATTTTGTCACCCCTGAACATGTTCGCTAGAGGAAACCTTGACATGTCTAGTTATGCCTCTTGCCACAACTTTGCATTTATTTGGTCATTCTCTCATTCATTTGTTCACCAAAGGAGAGCTTCATGCTCAATCAAAGACAGAAAGCATGTGTTTGAGCAGAAAGAGCTGCCACCCCGGACATGCGGATCTAGGTAGCGACCCAAACCGCACTCTGAAAGAACAAAGGAAGTTGGGGTTTACAAAGCAAACCACACAAAGTGTAATTCTTTTTTCAATTTATTTTATTTTTTTCAATTAAATTATTATCTGTGTATGTATTTTAACATTGTCCCCCCTCCCATACATCCCCTCCCTCCCCAGAGTTTGGTGTCCATTGGTTGTACTTATATTCATGTATACAAGTCCTTCGGTTGATTTCTTATCTCCCCTAGATCTCCCTACCCTCCCCGCTTTAATTTGACAGTCTGCTTGTTGCTTTACTGTCTTTATATCTGTCTTTTGGTTCATCAATTTATAATGTTCTTTAATATCCATAAATGAGTGAGGTTATGTGGTGTTTCTCTTTCATTGATTGGCTTATTTCACTCAGCATGATGTTCTCCAATTCCATCCAGGTTGCTGCAAATGATGAGAATTTCTTCTTTTTTATGGCAGCATAGTATTCCATTGTGTAGATGTACCATAGTTTTTGGATCCAATCATCTGCTGATGGGCACCTAGGCTGTTTCCAAATCCTAGCTATTGTAGATTGTGCTGCTATGAACATAGGGGTGCACATATCCTTTCTGATTGGTGTTTCTAGTTTCTTGGGATATATTCCTAGGAGTGGGATTACTGGGTCAAATGGGAGTTCCATTTTCAGTTTTTTGAGGAAACTCCACACTGTTCTCCACAGTGGTTGCACCAGTCTGCATTCCCACCAGCAGTGCACGAGGGTTCCTTTTTCTCCGCAACCTCGCCAACACTTGTGGTTTGTTGATTTGTTGATGCTGGCTATTCTGACAGGTGTGAGATGGTACCGCATTGTTGTTTTGATTTGCATCTCTCACAAAGTGTAATTCTTTCATGCAAATGAACCCTAGCTGGCTAAGTTAGCAAAGCTGCTTCGTCACAATATGCACATGAAGAAGGCACCAACTACAAGAAGGAGGCACTGCCCATGTGTGTTCTTACAGAGGTTGTTCAGCATCAGGTTAGCACCTTCACTGCAGCTCTGAGGCCCGGGGTGTGCATGAGGCTCGCTTCCCTGTTAGGCTCCAACTCTATTTTCAGTGACTTTCTTAGCAATGCTCCTTCCATGTCATTTATTTTCCATCTTCACATTCATTCTCTCCAGCTTCTGTCAGGCACTATAATGGGAGTTAGGAATCGAGCTGTGAGGAAAGAGAAAGAACCTGCCGAAACCTGTTTGGCTCAGTGGTAGAGCGTCAGCCTGCGGACTGAAAGGTCCCAGGTTCGATTCCGGTCAAGGGCATGTACCTTGGTTTCCGGCACATCCCCAGTAGGGGGTGTGCAAGAGGCAGCTGATCAATGTTTCTCTCTCATCGATGTTTCTAACTCTCTATCCCTCTCTCTTCCTCTGTGTAAAAAATCAATTAAAAATATTTTTTTTTTTAAAGAGAAAGAAATTGACCCCCCCCTCTCCCTGGAGCTGTCATTCTGTTAGAACAGAAAGCAGAAAAATGCAAGCCACTTGTCAGGTGTTGTTAATGGTTATGATAAAAATTAAATGGGAGAGGAGCGTTTCTAGAGAGCATGGCCCAGAAAAGTTTCTCTAAGATGGTGACATTTGAGCTAACACCTAGAGGAGAGCATCCCAGACGGAGGTCAGGGCCAGTGGGGAAGTGGGAGTGGAACTCAGGCTAAGGTGTGTGAGGTGGGGGCTGGTGTGGCTGAGACCGCATGATGAAGGGAGAGGTAGAAGTTGAGGTCAGAGAGGTGATGGGGACAGGACGCATAGGGGCTTCTGGGCCACGTGAGGACTTGGACGGACTCTGAGTGAGCCATGGGAGGCCAGTGGCTCAGGTCACTGATGTATGGGGAGGAGCTCCCAGTTTGTTCCAAGGAAGAGCCCTACCCCCAGCCCCTTTCACCTGAACACATCTTCCCCGGATGGCCCTTGAGGCCACAGGGCTCCTTCAGTCATAGGTGTCACATGTCTCCCCACAGGGTCTACAGGCTGCCCCCAGGAACAGAGACTCAAATCTCAGCTCAGAAAGGCTGTGAGGGCAATGACAAGGAACCTTTGATCTGTACTGTGTGGGTGAGAGGCCTGGGGTGCCGCAGTCCCCACTGTCTGCAGTCACCACCACGTCCCTGTAGGCAGGGCAGGTTCAGTCCAGGGATGGGGGCTCTGAGGCTGAGTGGTTCTGAGAGTGGCTGATTCCTGGGATAGGCCATGGTTTGGCCAACTCTGCCCTCCTCTGGAGTTTTGCATCCTGCCCCGTAGCTGCGGTCAGCGGGTGGACCGCCCAGAGCGGGGTTGAATTCCTATTCTTCTTGGTCCTATGGCCAAACCCTTGTCCTGGCCACTGACTCCCCTTTTATTCAAATCTGACGTAGATGAAGGTGGTTGAAATGGGAGGGGAGCGGCCCCTCGGGGAAGTCAGGAAAAGGGTGTCGAGTATGGCCCGAACAGGGGCCTGGGGTACAGCATTATCCCCACTTCTGTCAAACGTTTTGTTAAAAAATGAATGGAGCCGGGACCGATTTGGCTCAGTGGATAGAGCCTCAGCCTGCAGACTGAATGATCCCGGGTTTGATTCCTGTCAGGAGCATGTACCTTGGTTGTGGGCACGTCCCCAGTAGGGGATGTGCAGGAGGCAGCTGATCGATGATTCTCTCTCATCGACGTTTCTAGCTCTCTGTCCCTCTCTCTTCCTCTCTGTAAAAAAAATCAATAAAATATATTTTTTAAAAATGAATGGAGCTACAGTGGGCTGTGAAATAACTTCAAGTAGCCTAATATACATTGAAGTTGCTGAAGGGAGGTGGACAAAAAATATTTACAGAATCCTGAGTGGTGTGGCTCAGTTCGTTGGGCATCATTTGTTGCACTAAAAGGCTGCTGGTTTTATTCCTAGTCAGGGCACATGCCCTGCTTGTGGGCTCCATCCCAGGTAGGGGGTGTGCAGGAGGCAGTCCATTGATGTTTCACTCTCACATTGATGTTTCTCTCTCTCTCCCTTCCCTCTCTCTCAAAATCTATAAGCTCTTTAAAATATCTACAGAAATTCTTTTTCAAATTTAATGCAAACTGTAAACCCACATGCATGAAGCTCAGTGATTCCCAAGGATAAAAAAACAAAATCAAAGCTCATTAAAATGAAAATGTTTAAAAGCTGCAAACACACACACACACACACACACACACACACACACACTCACAGAGACAGAGAAAAATTTAAAAGCAGCCAAAGTGGAGGCCGGGGGAGGACTCATTATGTAAGGTGGAACAAAGATAAAATGTAACAGAAATAATGGGAACTAGAAAACAGTGAAGTAGCATCATTAATGTTGTGCAAGAAAAGAATTGTCAAACAAAAATTGAAAACTGACATTAAATAAGTTTTAATAACGAAGTTTTCGAAATACAAAGGCTCAAAGAATTCATCAGCAAGCCTGCATGATAAAAAAAAAAAAAAAAAGGTTTTCAAAGTCCTTAAGACAGAATGAAAATGATATCATATGGAAATTAGGACTTGTACCAAGAAAGAAAAAGCACCAGAAATGATAAACATGTGTGTAAATATAAAGCATCCTATTTATGTTTTATTGAATTTATTGGGGTGACATCGGTTAATGAAGTTCTATAGGTTTCAGGTGTACAACTCTAGAATACATCACCTGTATATTGTATTGTGTGTTCACCACCCCAAGTCAAATCTTACACCAGCATTTATCCCCCCTTTACTCTTTTCAACCCCCCCTTCCCTCCTTCCCTCTGGCGATCACCATGCTGTTTGTGTCTGAATTGTTGGGGTGGTTGTTGTGTTTCGTTTTGTTTTGCTTAATCCATTCACCTTTTCACACAGTTTTCCAACCTCCCTCCCCTCTGACAGCTGCCAGTCTGTTCTCTTTATCTCTGAGTCTCTTTTGTTCATTACTTTATTTTTGTTCACTAGATTCCACATATAAGTGAAATCAGATAGTACTTGTCTTTCTCAGACTGGCTTATTTCACTTAACA